CAAGTCANCCAGTGTTACTGGACTGCCTGAGGTGCGTAAATTCATCACATCATTGAGGAAATTTAACACCAGTTTTGGCAGTTGCCGGTACTGAATATGCTTCCCAAGATCTCCTAGTTTGTGGGGATAACCACGGGCTAATAGGAGCAATCATGATTACAAGGAAAAAATATTTTTACATCCAGCTTACCTGGCTTGCGAGCAAGATTAACATATGCTAGGACACTGGGCCCATCGACTTCACCATCATCATCATCATTATTGGCATCTCTAGAGGGGTTCAATAGTGCTTGAGGGTGTTTATGTAGATCAGTGCCTTGACACAGATGTGAGTAATGCTCAGGATAATTATTGATTTACTGACCAGGAGGTGAATCTGCTAACATTCCACGTGCTATGAAGTTTACTCGCATGGCTGAAAGCTTGTCTAGCCTTTGGTTGGTCACCATCATTTGCATGATAGCTTCAAAATGGTTGGACCGTCGCCAAGGCTCTTTCACAGCTTTGATATGCTTGGACTCTGTGATTGATGAACATAAACCATTTGGGGCCCCAAATAAGCAGATGAGTGACTTGTAATGTGAGAGTGCATGCTGTCGAGGAAGTGAAAAGCCTTCACGAACTCCCAGTTCCTGAAAGATGACTCGATATTCATGGAATCGACATAGTGCATCTTCAAGTTCTTGCAATGTCTTCTCATTATGCACATTCCTCCTGCATAGATAGCAAAAGTCCAGGAAGGCACTGATTGCTTTGACCATTTTCTCAGGGACATGTCCAGCAATTGCAGGGAGATAAACCTGTCAGCATAGAATAATCAGTCAAACAGTAGCATGGATGTTCCTACCCTTACTTTCATGAGTGCTTTAGAGTCATCACCAGTCCATTGCTTAAATCCGCGACCTTGGGGAAACCGGCGTAAACCTGGAAAAGGGGGTACTGCTGAAATACTGCAGAAATTACCTCATTTTATTGATTGTAGCATTCATGAATCAGATCAGATCACTCACCGACGGTCTATATCAGCAAGGATTGTGTTTGCCTTTGCCTGGCCATGTGCCTTCACTAGATATGCCTCTACCCATGTCACCAGATGGTCTTTGAATGATCCTTTGATGATTTGATGCAGGATATCAGGTGCAAGAAGCTCATGAATGTCCGCACGGGGAAAGTCATTGGTAAATGGCTGCAATAAATGTTGAATAGTGGATGATGCCAGCATCGGCAGATCAGACTTACAACAATGTCGGCAACAAGTCCATAGATTTCCCAGGCATCACCAAGCTCGTAATTCTCTGCAATATCATCAGACTGTTCCCGTGAACGTGGTGAGGCTGGAGTATCAAGATCACTGGGATGAGCAGTGCACCTGTAATCAATAAATCAGGGAAGCTCTGATGGCAGAAGATTGAAACACTGTACTTGGGGCACCAGTTATTCACAATGCATGCCAGCAATGCTTGCTCTGGATAATCAGCAATGTAAGGTCCGAGCCCAAAAATGGTACGCCGGAAGTTGCCATCAGGATACCGCATTATCTCTGGCACTGTCATGCCATTGCATAGTGGTTGAAGAATGGTGGAAAGAGATGAATGAAATAGTTGTCGCCGGAATTTGCGGAACTTATTGTCATTTGCATACTGCCTATCCGCTTTATCCAGGTCAGTCATAGTGCAGGCACAGATTTAACTTGAAAACTATACTTTTGGCAATAGCAAGAAACCCAATCAACACCACACCATCACGATGAGCCCGGCGTACATTATTGTGGATATTTCCAATTGACATATAGAGTGGGTAATATTCATTTTGGCCAGTGGCAACAGAAACTGTGGTCTTGTCACTGCCCAGGATGATAGGGACAAAGGTAGCTCCATCAGCATCACAGTCTTGAGCAATGGTATCCTGCATTCTCATGAATCTAGTGACCTGCCAAGCAACAAATATGACTCAACCACTCACACACTGCTTCCATGCCCACTCGCCAGACATAAAGTCTTTATACCTGCGTCCCTGGTCCTGATCGAACTCTTGATACGCAGCATAATCAAACTCCCCTGCAAAGCCTGGATTATCCAGAAGCCGTCTCACGACTTCATGGGGGTCTCGATAGAACACTGTATAGTTGGAGTCCATCCACTCTGGGATATTCTGGGTTGGTCTCTCGCCTCGATATTGGACATCAAAAGAGTTCCAAGCAACATCTCCAAGGACAGATGAGTCGATTTTCTTCAACATGTCTACATGATTGATGAAGGGAGGAAGATCATGATGTTTGCGTAATGTTGCTCCCCACAATTTCATGAGGTCATCAATTTGGTCTTGTGGCATCTGGTTGCGGCGGAACAAGAAATCAGCAGTCTCAAATTCAATTGCACTCTGAAATGGTGTATAATCACTAGATCCTCTGGTTTTGCGGTTGACTGGTGGACTCCCTGGTTCTAGAAAAGCTCCAGACTGGTCACAAGGACGGCCTATCAAATGGTTTCATCAGTAATGCAACACAGAATACAGAGTACCAGGAATCTGCAGGTATTATCTAGCTAAAATACATACCATCAAGATGCCCATGAGCAAAGCGAGATCCTGGCAGCTCCGGGACTGGTGTGGCATCAGGCTGAATAGTGATCTCCTCAGCATCACTCTCTGATCCAGAGTCTGAGCCTTTGAAGAGAGAGCATAAATGATGGCATAGAGTATCATGGGCATTGCCACGCACCTGAATCTTCCTGAGACTCTCTACTTATGGGCATGCCTTCATCCTCTGATTCCAATCCATCTGGATCGGGAATAAACTGGAAGCTATCCTCCCAGCCACCTGATTGTCTGATCTCTGGAATGCCATCATTACTGGACTGAGGCATAGCACTGGGAGTGCTGGCCTCAGAGGATGAGCTATGGATCTCTCTGGATTGGCCATAGTCCCTGTGCTTGTGCTGGATGTGCTGTGTGACACCTGATGTTGACCGGAACTTCTGCCTACAGCCTGGAATTGGACATGGAATATTTCTGGCATGAAGGCTACGGTTCCTTCGAGCACCAGCAATTATGGGGGATGGTGGTCGCTGCATCATTGGGATAACATGAGGCTTGCAGAGGACGGTAGACTGCCAAGTGATATGCGGTGCAAGAGTGGCAGTGCCATTCCTTACCATTTTCGGATTTCCGACTTTATACGTGGCGAAATTTCAAGTCTCGTCCTCCGGTTCACTCTCATTCCAGGATCCTACCATTGCCATTGTCTCTTCAGTTAACTATGGCTCCACAGACTAGACAGCGCTCTGGGAGCTCTGGGGTTGCCAATCAGCCCCTCCAGAAAGACTTCAATGTGCATCCACGGTCTCGCAAGAAAAAGAAGCCTGATGTGGGCCGAAGCGTGCAGTCTGCAGAAACGGGTGATACGGACCGGCCCATTGGCTTATCGGAGGATGCACTTGTGGCTGGTCATAACAATCATCAGCTCAAGCGCAAACGTCCCCCTGCTACTCCAATGTCGGATTCCGAAGCAGAGCCTGCAAAACGAAGACGCACTCCAGCTCAGGCTCAGAAAGGTGCAAAAGTACATGTAGAGGACGAGACTGATAAGGAGAACACCCTGCAGGATGGCGAGCTCTTCGGGTACAGCAGCGAGTCTTACCTGCCTGAGAGTAATCTCCAGATGGATCCTCCTTCCAACTCTGATGCAGCCTCCGAAAATCCGCCCGTAAAGAGCAGAACACGGAAGATCAGCAACCAATCACGGGAAGGTGCTGGACGTGCAACTGCTGGCCAAGGTCATCACAAGCTGCATCCCATTTCCGAGGAAGAGGAGCATCTTGACAGTAACCCTACTGGGGATCATTCTCGAAAGCAGAGGGGGAAGAAGTCTGCATCGCAGATTTCGGTTCCAGTCAAAGCCGGGTGCGTGCCAGTGTGCTGTGTGGGTCTTCACGCAGGCGTTTCTCACTCACGCGACCACAGACTAAAGGCAAACTGGACATCTCAGTGTTTAGAGCGTGCGAAGCATCCGCGTACCGTACCAAACACTGTATCGCATCCTAAAACCAAGTCAGCATCCTCGAAAAATGTTCCAACTGCAGGTCAGCAAGCCTCACTTCGCACTTCTGCCCCTGCGTCTCCGTCCCCGCCACCCCCGCGAATCGATCTTATCATGATGGCAGGTGCATCCTCCTCTCAACGGCGGCCGTCTGCAGACTTTTCTCAGTCACGGGCGTTGACGGGCACTGCCGTTTCCTCGAACGGGAGGAGGAGCAAGGTTACATCACCAGTCAAGGAAAGTGGGTTTCCAGAGGACGATGATGATGGAGATGAGGAAGAAGCAGCGAAGTCGAGCCCGGTGAAAGGACGTAGGCGAGTCACCTCTTCGGTAAGTCACTAAACTGCTACGTAGTTCGAAGCTTACTGCCTATAGTCAATGGTGTCTGTTCGCATTTCCCATCGGCCTCTCGAAAGTGTCTCCGGCGCCAATGACAATCACTCTGCACCTTGTGGAATGCAAGACGGAAGGAAAGAGCATCGTAGCGAGGCAAATCGTGACGGAAACAACCAACCTTGCCGCCGAAAACCTAATGAGCAAGAGACACTCAACGCCAGGATTCCGACGTATGAGCACGGATGGGACAATGCCGCGCCGCGTGCTCCTGCGATCAATGCTGAGCCTGCGAGGCAACCCATCTATAGCGCTCCGCAGGGCCCTGACTATAGCGATGACACTCCCTACAGCCCTCATGGCGAGTATGACCCCTCCCCCGGGGTTCGCTATTCCACACCCTACGACAATGGCTGTGACTACGACTACGACTACCAAAGCTTTCCACCAGGTCCACACGATGAGGCGGCCCGAAACGTCCGCGTCAACTCTGAGGGGTCTGACAGCTGCAGGCAGAAGGAGCATGGTGGACCGCGGGCCCAAGGCGGAGCAGCTGCTCGGATGATTGCGGCCTATCCACAGACAGCTGTATTCTCTCCGCTGGCTGTACCTCTTACTGCTCCGGGTTTCCCCGTTTCGCATGAGCTCTGCGAGACACCGCAGGTTTCCCCTCCGGTGCCGCAATGGTATTCTATCCCCAGCAAGCCACCAGGATCGCGATCAGGCTCCCGACAACCTTCTATGCCTGCGCCGCGAGCCTGCAGCCAGTCGCGACAGCGCTCTGTCCCACGATGCCCGCCTGGTTCTCGCCAGGCTTCCGTTGCGCCCACTACAACTGGATATGAAGCTGAGGATGATCCCATCGACGATGAATTGGCTGACGACGGGTCCGAAGAACAGTCTGTTGCTCGCGAAAGCCGGCGGAACCGCACCCGTGGCAAGGGTCGCTTGCCTGCGCCGAGCTATGATCACTTACCGGCTGGCGTGACGAGAAATCAATTCCGACATGTCTTCATTCCGACCGTCGTTAAGTATCTAGCCATGTCATCGGCCGATCCCTGGAGTGCTGCCACACCCGAGTACATCAAAATCATTCAGGCTGTATGGTCTCACGTCTTCCCGGATATTCATTATACATTTTCGGTTGGTTCACAGTGCAATGTCTCTCGTCTGGTACGTGAATGACTCTCGCAATCGAGCCTGACTAACACTCTGTCAGATTTCTCAACGACTCTGTGAATGGCGCAGCAGTATCGGTAATGCTGCTCTCAAGTTCATCACGCTGATAGAGGAGAACAATGATACTCTGCGTGATGCAACCACGCGTCGTGAAACTGCTAAGCATCTGACCCAGGAGAATGTCTGGCCATTCCTGTATGCTGACTGTGCCTCGAATGATCCTGAGGTGCGTCTGTCGCTTCGAAAGCGGACTGAGTCTGATCTTCCCGGTTAAAGGATTGGTCGGGTACGTTTGCTTCAGACCCGATCTTGCATGCGCTCAAGGCACACTACGCGTTCGTCGTGGGTCATACTACTATTCCGGCACTCGCACCGTCGGTGTCCCGTTACCCTTCTAATGCCTTGGCGCTCGCCACGGCAGCTGTGAGTTGGCATATTCATCTGTGCAATAGCTTCTAATTTGTACAACAGGTTGAACGTGCACTACGTCTATGGGGAGAGAACTATCTCTCGGGCACGAAGTCGGAGGCTAAGTTGCCCTCTTTCAATGGTACCGCGTGGGGTGAGGCGACGAAAGCATGGCGTGTGTCAATCGAGACACTGGATAGTTCAGCATGGGCCTATATCATCGAGAAGGCCAGCCAAATTGAAGACGTAGTTCGCAAGCCCGTCATCGCCACAGAATCGACCACTGTCCAGAGCCGAGCAGGGATTGTTGCACGCCCGCTTCGCCGCGGCCACTGACTTGAAGATATATCTAGTCCTACGCTACTGGTAAGCATTCGGCATATCACTCTGACTGTTCATTATGTTTTCTGCTTTCTCGTTTGCTTTCTCATTCTCGTACGTTTTCTCGTCCTCGTAATGCACCTTGGGATCTTCTCTGTTGCTCTCTCCGCTATGCCCATATGCCCAGCCTTCCCTATGTGTCTGCTGTTTCTCGCTGTTTGTTGAGCAGGTCTCTAGTTTACTTTAGGATACAACTCTTGTTAATGAGTAATGGATCATATGGTACTCTTAGGCCCTTACCTGGTCTGAGTCCTTCAAGTCAGCACGAGGCCTGCTATCAATATTATACCCTTAGTCTCAACTTGGGTGTAAAATGCTCCGTAACTTAGCCCTTAGCCGGTCTGAGGCCTTATGCGGGCATGACTTGATGCACTTGATAGATTGCACGCTGAGGTCTGACGCAACTTAAGTCTGTACTAAGGTAGCGGTGCTTAATCCCGAAAGGGGGCCCCCATGGATCAAGGATTCCTGTATTACCCATTGTAGGCCTTAATTTGTACTTATATCGACTTAGCGATATCCGCCGTTTTGCTGATGAA